GTCACATTCTGATCGGAGTGAGGGGCCCTAGGGCAGATGCGGCAACTCTTAGAAAACAGTTGATTGAGTTCTGTGATCAGAAATATATGCTCAAGCTTGATAATGAGAGCCTTCCTATCGAACACATAACTAAGGGTATTATGTTTCTTGATCACATCTTGTGTCGTCGTGTCGTTTATCCCACTCTTCGTTATACTGCCACTGGTGGCAAAATAATAAGCGAAAAAGGTGTGGGGACACTTCTTTCTGTCACGGCTAGCCTGAAGCAGTGCATCAAACAGTTTAGAAAACTAAGCTTTCTTAAAGGAGACAGAGACCCGGACCCACAACCATGCTTTAGAATGTTTCATGCTACTCAAGCACATACAAATGCACAAATGAATAAGTTGTTGGCTACCATGGTTGAGTGGTACAGATATGCTGATAATAGAAAGAAGGTTGTCAATTTCTGCGCATACATCATAAGGGGTTCCCTTGCAAAGCTCTATGCTGCAAAATACAAACTTCGATCTCGGGCTAAAGTTTTCAAGATCGGTTCTAGAGATCTTCGACGACCTTTAAAAGAGAAAAAGGGACAGTCTCCAGAATATCACCATTTACTTAGGATGGGTTTGGTGGAGTCAATTGATGGGCTGTTGTATACCCGCATGTCCCTTGTACCAGAAACTGATTATACCCCTTTTCCAGTTGGTTGGAGGCCTGATCATGAGAAGGCATTGATGGAGTATATAATGCTTGATGATTCACGAGCACTAGAGGAACAGAGGCACTGCTTACAAGAGCAAGGCCTCATTTCACCTCAGGACTACATTTCAATGCTTGTTTGGAGCTACAAAAGAAATGCTTTAGCATTGGATTCTCGCCCTTCTAGAGTAAATGCTAAGATGGCTTCGGAAGATTTGCTATTGGATGGAAATGCGATTCAAACAGATGAAGGCGATGAAAATGATCAAGTTCATGCAGCACAAATGTAAGTTGGTATTCTGTTGTTCAAGAAAGCTATGATTCCGGTTGAGTAAAATCTTTCAAGGGCATGGGATCCCAGAAAATGACAGGGAAGCAAAAAGAAATGCTAAGGGAAGTTGGTTTGTTTTGTTTGGTTTTGTGCTAGAAATTGAAAAAGAGAAGAGAAATATGATTAATGCTATTAGCTTTCTCTTTTACATTTGTCCAGATTTTGAATCTTTGTAAATGAATAAATGAACTGGGGTTGAACAAGTATGAAAAGTAAATTTCGAAGGCTGAACCAATGATCAACTTTGATCAATATTTTCTTTCCTTCCAAATTTTTAATTCATTTCCCTACATATATTCTTTCCTAGCATTTCTTTAGTTTGAAATACACCCCTAGAAAAATTATCTAATATATTAAGACAAATCTTCCTGGAGTTATAGAATATGCTGTACGCAATTTCTGATATAAGTGACTTATTTGTAAGTATTTCATGTTCTTTCCTTTTCTATTTTTTTGTTTACTGATTGAATTTTTGTAGTATGTAGTATACTTTGACTTGTTTCATTAATTTGATTCAGGGTCAACTAAACTTGCTCTGCCCCAAGCCAATTTAGGCACTATAACGTGCAACCCATGCACATGGAAATTTCCAACTCAAACATCAGCAAGCTCTCCCCTTTAGGACAGGGCTCAGAAAACAAGGCATGTTAGGAGGTTGCATACATAAGTGAGCTTATTTCATGACACCCCTTTAGGGTAAGTTTGGAGTTGGGTTTTTGAGGGGAGGGGGGATGTGAGGGTCTATGACCCTCCATTTTATGTTTGGAAATTTTAAAAAATTGGCAGGAAAGTTTAGTGGGGTTTTTGGTAATCCTCCTAAGCCCTTCAAAAGTTCATTTTTTGAGTTTTTCTGATTTGATTTTATTGAGAGATAACTACGCAAATGACAATTCTAGCCCTGTTAAATTAGTACAGCTTCCCAGTGCCTTCACTATCTGCTCCAGTCGATTAATATTTCTTGGAGCAAATATGGAATGCTAGCTCTACATCGTTCTGCAAACTTCATTTTTGGTTTTCCAGGTATGTTCATCCTCCACAATCCTTTGGAAATCTGGAATCCTGACTTTCTTCTTCATGACCTTTCTTCTTATTTCAAAATGGCTGCCATAATCGATGCCTCTCTCTTTTTATTTATTACAATCAATCCCTCTCTCTATACAAGCATTTTAATTACTACTCCCTCCGTCCCAGGGAGAAGTTCCCGGGTTAACTTTCACACATATTAAGGAAATAAAGTTACTGAGGGGTAAATTTTACTGTTTGGCACTGTTTCGACACTGTTTGGCACTGTTTCCACACAGTTTGGCACTGTTTCCACACAGTTTGGCACTGTTTTGCACTGTTTGACACTGTTTTGATGTGGGATAACTTTCCATTTAGAGAAATGAGAACTTTTTGTTGGGACTGCCAAAAAAGGAAAGTGGAAACTTCTCCCTGGGACGGAGGGAGTAATATAGAACCGCAATATCTGCAGATCCTTAATATATGTATGCTGGATGCTCCAATTTGATGGAGAAATCTAATTATTACTCTCGTTTTGTTTACCAAGCACCATAGGAGGGTACTAAATTAATACTCCGTATATACGGAGTATATTTCTTTATTAATAGGAGGGTACTAAATTAATGTTTCTTTAAATTAATGTATATTTAAAACGTTTCCCTCCATTTGTATCTATTACATACTATACCTTCGTCCCTTAAAACTTCTCCATCTTTGACTTTTCAAGTCAATGATGATAAAGTTTGGACAATGACTTTAATTAATACTTCGTATTATACTTTTATGAAACTATTTTTAATAAAGAAAATTTTTACCTATAAAATATCATTTTTATATTAAAGTATTTTGCTATAAAAGTATTTTCCGGACCGGGTTCATGCCTAGGTACATTGTTTAACATGTTTACAAAAATTTCTGATTATTTGCACGTACTAAACTTATATACTACGGAGTACTTCGTAATATTCAAGTTTCTTAAATAGATTGAGGTTTTAAAGATTGATTTCCAGATTTGTGAAGGTGTTTCAGATTGTAGGATTTTTTTTGTTTCTTGTTAAGTTTTTTTTTTGTTTCTTGTTAAAGTTAATAAAATGATAAGTTATGAATTATGATCATAGTAATAAATCATTAAATATTTAAAGGTATTGTGTTTTTATGTAGTTACTATCGTATTATTTTAAATTCTACCATCCAAATTTTCTTTTGATTTGCAGGCCATACCAGTTAATGCAAGTGTCCGCGAATATCAAGTTTATTTGGAGACCATTGGTATTATTTGGCCGTTTTCTATGTTATTGACTTGAATGTGTTTGAAATATGTAATAGTTAATTCTCAAAATGAAATGTGAAGCTTTTTATCTTCTTTTTTCTCTTAATTGTCATTTCATTTCAACTTTTCTGAAAACTTGTTGCATATAGTATGAGTTTATGGATATATTCTCCTTCAATTGTTTTAAATTTTAAATAATTCTTTCTCAACGTGCAAATTGAAATGTGAATTTAAATATTGTTACTATTCAAATTTATTTTCTTCTGCTGTGCACTTGTGCATAAGAAAAATATGATGTAATTTTTTTGATGGAAAAATATCCAACCAAATATTGATGTAAACAATAAAAAATTATGTAATTTTTATTTATAATTTCTTTGGAAACCCCCTTTTCCCATTATGAGAAGGTTTTGTTTCCCATCTCTTTCCCATTCCCTTCCCTCTATTCTCTTCAAAGCCTTCCCAAACTCCCAATTCCCATACATAGAATGAATTGGTTCAGAGTGACTTCAGAGTTATATAACATAGAAAGCTTCACAACCAATTTGTCCACGGATGTGGTCATGTGGGCATCATCTTCTGGAACTTTACATGGCTAAAGCATTACTGCCATTACATGGCTCAAGGATGGCTGAAGGGGGTGAGGAGGTTAAACCTTTTCGGATCCTTTTGTACTCTTACACGTTCTATATGGAATATTGTTTCTTGCTCATCTCTGGATAGTAAGCTAGCCTTGCTTTTCGGCAGGGGCGGACCGTAGTACAGACCCAGGGGGGTTACCGCCCCTGCAACAACAAAAAATTAGTGTGTATATATACAAAAAATAATTTTCTCCCTCAAAAAAACAATTTTCGCCCCCCGAAAAATGTTTTGAACCCCCCCAAGATTATCTTCCTGGGTCAGTCCCTGCTTTTTGGGTTAAAAAAAACCTTTTTTTTGGTAATTGGTACTCCGTATTGATTAAGGGTAGGGGTGGACTCGGGCCGGGCGGCCCGACCCGGAACCGGCCCGGCCCGGTTACTGTTTGGCCCGGCTTGGGGCCCGGTGGGTCCATCGGTTCGGTTCGGTTTGGCCCGGCCCGGGTGATGGACGGTCCGGGCTCGGGCCCTGCTTTAGGTGAACCGGCCCGGCCAGTTTGGGCCCGGTCCGGGCCGGATTTTAATTTTGTTTTTTGAAATTTTTTTAAGTTTTGGGTTGGATTAGGTATTTTGGGCCACTTGAGGTGGTTTGGGGTTGAGGGAGAGGGGTAGGGGGTTAACTAGGAGAACCAAAAAAAAAAAAATATGGACCGGTTTGGCCCGACCCGGCCCGGTTTGGCCCGGAACCGGAACCGGCCACCGGCGGTTCGGGCTCGGGCCCTAGTTTTCTGGCCCGAGGCCCGGCCGGGCCCAGGCCCGAACCGGGTCCGAACCGGCCCGAGTCCACCCCTACTGAAGGGGGTGAGGGGGTTAAACCTTTTCGGACCCTTTTGTACTCTTACACGTTCTATATGGAATATTGTTTCTTGCTCAACTCTGGATAGTAAGCTAGCCTTGCTTTTCGGGTTAAAAAAACCTTTTTTTTTGGTAATTGGTACTCCGTATTGATTAAGGGGTGTTTGGATTTGCTTCTTAAAATCGCTTCTGCTCCTTTAAAAGCAGATATTGGAGTGTTTGAGTAAAAGTGCTGAAGTACTTTTGGTTGCTCCAAATTATTCATAGAAACAGTCTTTTAGAAGCTGGGGAAGAAAAACTTATGAAAAATTGATTTTGATTCTGCTTCTTTTAAAAGAAAAGCAGAAGCAGAATTAGTTCCAAACCTCCAATAAAACGTTTACACATGCAGCCACATGAATGTCACTCTTCTTTATGATGATCTGTTCACTATTCATCGGTTAAAACTTAAAACATCTCTAGGTTCATGTATTAGTTTTTTTATTACATTCAAATTTAACTTTTCAAATTAATGGGCGAATTTTATCATCATTTAGATCTCGAAATCCATGACGAAACTTTCATTTATGGATGAGGTATTGTTGTTGCTTTTAATATTATTAGGGACTACTACTACTATTCTTGTTGTTATTACGGAGCATTATTACTATTATTATAATTATATGTAGACTATTTCTTAGTTATATAGTCCTTTGCCTATTCATATTGAGATCGGAGTGATTTTCACATATAGAATGTTTTCGCTTGAACTAATAAACGAATCATATCAATTTTGGACAAACGTGACCAGACAAGAAAAGTTTTAAGTTTTAATAGATTGAACTTGATAGCTTAGTAAAAATATTTTATACCAAACCTTGACAAAATAGTAATGAACTGTTAGGAATTAACCAAATTGATTCAGATCATATTAGATTTGAACTGACTAGAGGAGGTTAAGTCACAATCCTAACAAGAAAATACTAATCAAAGTGAAAACAAAACTCCACTGTTTAAAACAGGAAGACATTATCTTTAATTTACTTAAGTTATTCGTAATTCTTCATCCAGTTATATACGGAGTATATAAGAACACATATTCAAACATGTTTTACTAGCTCTACTAAGTCTTATCTTGCTCATTTCTTGTTCATAGTCATGAGATGTTTTAGTCCGTTGAGGAGTCTGGTCAAGCTGTCAAGAATGGACAAGTATTATTTGCGCATTACACTTTTAGCTATTGCCATGGAGGTGGTTACGTATAGAATAAGTAATTTTTGACCGGCTATAGCTATAGTAAATAAAGTTTAGTGCAGCTAAGCTACGTCAATGGTAATTAAACAGTGAAAAATAATTTAAAAAGAATTTTTTTTTACGTGCTTATTTTAAATACAAATTGTCACTTAAAAACACTCATTTTAACTTTTAATGTTTTTACAAACACGCCTTAAAATCAAGTTTTAAACTAAAATGTTAAGCTGGTAGAAGGAGTAGTACAAGATTATACATACTCCGTAGTCATTTATTCATTCACACTTCATCAGTACAGAAAATATTTCACCACGCATCTTAGATGTATAATATTTTTATCAAGTTGATGGTTTACTCCTTTAATAATATTCTTTTTCATCTCTTTCTGTCTCAAATTGTATCAACTTTGTTCAGGTTGCTATCAAAATTTGTCCAAACTTATTTCATGTTTGAATTTTCACGTTGTCGTTTTCCCGTATTTCATTAGATGCGTGATGCATCATCTGGAATCACATAAAACGTTGTGATACCTAAATGTAATTTTCAATTTTCTCCGTATTGTTCGATTTAGAAATTCATTCTGAATAAATGTCACTTTCTAATTCAGTCTATTTAAATCTGGGTTTAATCTTATCGGTATCTATACTATGTGTAAATCGATGAGCCCATTTGCAAATGAAATTGATTGAATCAACTGATTCTGTTGAAATTTATGAAATATATAGAATGTTTTGGCTGAAGTGACTGGATTGACCGATTCTCATCTATCAATTTTTTTTTTAAAATATATAGAATGTTTAGTTAATGAAATCAAGAGATATAACATGACAAAATAGTTAAAATGTGTCTCTGCAGTAACTTCAGTCAATGCAGTCAAAAAAGTAAATTTAACCTCATTTGTTTTGATTACTATGCATTTTGGTATGAAAAGTCAGAAATTACGTGCTCATTGAAAAGGTGGTTGATAAGGTGACAACCCGAAAAATAGGGCTTCCAAACGGACTTTATAATTGTTGAAATGGTTAAATTTGGGATTGAAACACATCCCATTAAAAAAAACATCCTAAAAAGCCGGTAGGTCGGAGTATGTAGACCGGGTGTGTATAGTCAGTGAGTCGTACGTACGAGTGACCAAATTCAAAAGCAGTGGCCGTGAAATGCAAGCAAGACTCCGGCACGTGTTTGACCCCAAGGAACATTGGGTCTCCAAACACTGTATTAACGTATGCAAATCATCAAAAGAGCCGTCAACGTTAATCAACGTAACGTTAGGATATGGATGTATCATATCTATGTTTCAAATGTATGTATATAGGCTAGAAGATAGAGATGTAGGACGACTTTTACTTGAACAACACTATTGATCACATGCTAATCAATGATCCACCTTTACCCAATGTAGTTCTCTACCCAATGATGTTCAGCTCATCCATATTATAGCTTGTCACTTTGTTGTAAATATCATTACAAAATATTACGTCCGTCCGGTTGGAATTTCCTAAGTTTGAATTAGGTGAGAAATAAAAAAGTATGGTACTATCGCTTGTGTAGTAAGTTTATGTTGGTATAGAGTAGAGAAAAATAAACAAAACCACAAATTATCTGTTTTACTTAGAGTCTTAGAAAATGACAAAGTTGATGGGATAACTAAAAAAAAGTTGGCGAAGTTAAGTGAGACGGAGTAACTTGTACTGATTTCATTCCCAAGCTAAATCAGACCAAACAATATAATATCTAATCAAACCAAATTTTAACAATCTAAAAGACGTAGAACATATGTCTATTAGATCGATCAGACTAGAGAGTTTTAATTCAACTAAAAATATCCAAATCTTTTCTCGTTGTGTATGAGTATATAACTCATTCGATTTTAACTTGTTAATGAAAATAATTCTTATATTAAGAGCTAAGGCTTAAATCAATTGGATGTATTGAGATTTCTGAAATTATGATTAAAATGCAATTGAAGAAAAATTATGTAGTATATGAAAAGGCTAAAACTAATCTTTACCGCAAGTTGAGAAAATAGTCTTTGAAAAGTCTTAGATAAGAATGTCTTAATGTCTGGTAAAGCTTATAAGCTGAAAAAATAGATCATCAAATTGACTCCAACAATCAACTGATCATACTTTATACGAAGTACAATAATAAGGGTTCTGTCTTAAAATTTTGAGTTATGTTTTAGTTGTATAGATGGGAGTTTAATTTCCTTTGTGCCCAAAGTGAACTCTACTTTTGTCTCATAAGAAAGAAGCGGGTAAATCACATCCGCTCATCACTAAAATAAAAACGTTAGCAATCAACTTAGCATAAATGAAACCTCTTATATATGATGATTTGTACTTTTATTTGTACGTGTACTTGGACCAAATCCCAAATACTTGAACCGGAGGTCGAGCAACACCTTAAGGACATTATATTTTATCATAGCCATATAGTTTACTTATCAAATAAAACAATTCTTTATCCAATTATTAAATGTAGTTGTTATACATTATGTATTTATGTTCTTGCTAAGGTTGGTCAATAATGAA